AAAAAAAAAAAAAAAAAATTATTCTATGGGAGCCTTTTGCTTAGCCCACTGATTCAACCTACTAAATGCCTTAATCATACCACCATGGAGCAAGTCTAAATCAATTGACTATCTTTTTTCTTTTTCTAGTTTTAGGAATCGAGGAAAAAATAAGTAATAAAATGACGTAGAAGAGAACCTAGATTCCAAATGAATGGAAGCGCGACTGAATTGGTCCCGATCACTTTTCGATACAGAATGAAAGAGGAGAGGAGATTCTCGATCGAAAAAAAGGATCCAATGACTTCGAAAGAATTGAACGAAGAGCAGTATGAAATAAAAATTAAGACTCATTAGAATGTTGCCTAAACAAGGGTCATTTTAGAATAATTGTCTTTTTAATAAATTTGACATTGAGTATTAATACAAAGTAATGAAAATATTGTCTTTATTTTGATAATTGTTGTTAAAACTACAACTTTGCTTCAATTTACCAAATACCAATATGCTTCATTTGGCCATTGATTATTGATTTTCCGAAAAGCAAAACAATCCCAAATGGAGCCTTAATCCAAACAACTATCATGATTGTCACTAAATCATTTCGAAGTCATCTTCACATAAATTTTTCATCTAACATTCTATTAGATCTACTCTAATGACAGTTTTGAAACGTTTGTGAATATTATGAAACAAAGAACCAAGCTTTAAGTCTAGAGAAGCTTGAGGCTCAAGCAGAGTCTCTCTTGAGAGAGAGGAATCAGTCAGCTTGACGAGAGGCCCCGTCATTCCAATCGATCATATTCTGGCGTTCGTCCATCAAGCAGTAATGTATGATTAGACGAAAAAGAGGAAGCCAAAAAAGATGATTCATCTTCAATTTCAACTCTGCAAAAGTTCTTATAGAATGTACAGAGAAAGGAATCTCACAAGCATAATGACCAAAGAACAGTTTTACTTTCCTTTATAACTGGGAAACCAGGACAAATAAAGTTTATTCACATCTCAAAAAATTTACTCAAACATCCAACATTATGGTATATAGCAGAATCTTAACCTCAACGAAAATAAAAGCTAAAAATTGAAAGAGAGAGAGCACCGATTATAACACTAACCAGAAAATTCTTTGTTCACTCCATGTATGTCTGGATGATGCCTGTAGTCCATCTTCAAGTTTACTTCTATTATGTTTGGGTTTGTAACAATCATAGCCAAGGAGCCTTTCCTTTACCTCATAACAAGATAATAGACTCAAGTTTGCTGTAATCCCTCAGCGAGGAAAACTAGCTTCTTCTCTTCATAAGTAACTATTACTACGTATGGTCACAGCATGTCGACCTCGACTTTGAAGATGATGGGACTGATTTAAGCTTATGCACCGAATGTCTTCTTAAACATGCCGAGTCCTACACACAACACAGTTCTTGTGCCATACATCTTTGGCACATCTCAGATTCCCACGTTTTTACAGTCAGTAACCAAACTATTGTGCCTGTTATGTATTAGATCATCCAAACTGAACCAGCTTTACCAAGCCATCTCCACCACAGGTAAGAAATCCACTTGAGATAACTTGTATATCAGTAACAGCGGCCTGTAGAATTAATAATTCAATGAGCTTTCGCATTGTGAAATAGTTTGCTTCTAAAAATGTATATCTTTTGACGTCTACCAGCAAATATACTAATAAAATATAAATTTCATACATGGTAAGAACTGAATTTTTAATAGTACTTCACAGAAGTACAAGAAAAGAAGTTACCCGAACTACTTCACCGAAACCTCGGGAACTTGGTTGCAGAAAAGTGTGTCTATCATGCAACTTTGGCCAATGATGCACTAATTTAGCTCTTTTTGCATCCCAAAGTTTTACGTCTCCATCTTTACTTCCGGTCAAGAACAAACTTGTGTTTGGGATAGAAGATATTTTAGTGACACTCCCAGAGTGAGCCTTCGGTATGTACCAAAGCATTCCATTTAAGTTTTGTTCACCAACTGTACTCGGCATGTCAGAATTCGAAGCATCGCTAATCCTTTCATCTTTTGAACAGTTTTTTTGTTTCTTAGTCCTACCAGTGACTACGTATCGGAAGTCATGAATTGCCACGTCTCCACCTTTGCCACCAGTAACTATGAGGGGAGAAACAGAACCGGTCCCTATTTCATTATCAAACACAGAAATAGAGCGAGCACCACCTTCACATTAAAAGAAGGAAGATGCTTAGTAATATGAACAGGCCAATATCTAAATCAAAATTTTAACAGAAAAAAGAAATACCAGCTTTGACAACAGAGTATGTATACCATCAGCAGAAAATCAAAATTTTAACAGAAAAAAGAAATACCAGCTTTGACAACAGAGTATGTATACCATCAGCAGAAAATCTAACGTTAAAGTGTGTCGTACAAGTCCACAAACAATCTAGGGCCCTGATAAAGTATTGGGGAAAATATATAATTTCTTGGTCTTATAAAACTTCGTCCTATAAGCCGACCAATAAAGAAACTCTCCAATTTGAAATAATACTAAATCTATCTCCCTGAAGTGGACAGGTTTGGCTTTATGCTCTTTTTAATCAACCAGGCAAGTCATACGTTTTACATAATGACTATTCTGCTTCATTCTTTAGAAGATAAAGAATTTGAAAGATAACTAAGGTAAAATGCCTCGCTTATCAAGTTAAATATGACTTATGAGATTAATACCTTCGTGACACATAATGGCTGCTTGGGAAGTTTTAGGTGGAGCCAGTGTATCCCATATGACCACATTAACTGCGGTGGAGCTATATCCAGCCACAGCTATTATTGATCCACTGGAAGTAACATAAGTGACATCCCTGCAAATTGACAAATAACAAGTTGAACAATGAAAATATACCAAGATATTAGAAGTTCTAAATAATTAACTTCCAATCTGAAACCTAAGAGTGAAAAACTATCTTAGAGTGAACTCAAACGCTTATACAGGAAGAAAGAAACGGAAGCAATATCACCAAAGAAAGATCATTTGGCCATGGATATCCAGTTTAGTAGATTTTAATTCCACAAATTACATTGACTCCTGGGTATGCAAACTTAAGCTGATTATGAAATGTACATGCTTGAAGATTCAATTTTATATGTAAAACCAAATATTTTTTAGTAAATGTATAAGAGTAGATACTAAATAGGTATTTCTTTGATGCTCAACAGTAAAACTACGTACGATGCATGGCCATTAAAGCATAAAGAAGATTCGGTTGGACGGACATTGCTTCTTCCTCCAACCTCCAACTGCCATGAGCATACGGTCCCATCTAATGCAGCAGTAGCAAATCTGTGTCCACATTGGTCAAACTGCACAGATGATATTGAGGCTAGAGCGTATGGTGGAGGCACATTTGCTGCAGGCAAGACACCATATGTTGCAGTAGCTCTGTTCTTCCCGAACTGCATTAGTTTAAATTTACACCATCCAAAGAAAAGTTTACAGTAAATGATTAAGTAAATTTTAAAATATAAAGTTGGAGTTACTCGTATGTTCTACTGCACAAATCCACTACTCTAGAGCAAGAGATATTATTAGTTCATACCTCCCACAAGTATACATGTGTATTGGTAGAGCCAACCAAGAAAAGAGGTCTAGAAGGATGACTGGAGAAAGCCCTCGTACTTGTGTGTTCTGCTGTAGCTGGAGGGTCTACAAATTCCTCGAAATCCTCTTGTGTTTCCCAACCTAAGCCAGAAGCACCAACACCTGCATAACCCGAAATACCAAATGCTCCACCTCCAGTCAAATCTCTCCCAGGCCTTACAGATGATCCTACACCCAGAGTAGCACCACCTAACCCAAGGTGTGCCCCTTTGCTGCTCCCAAGACCAACACCAGGAAATACACACGTTGGAGCTGGTGTTGATTCAGAGGCTGCCCCCCATTTAGATTTAGAGGCCACTCAGAGTTTGACCAGATATAATCCTCTTCATCTCTGGAGGCCATCCCATCTTCCCAGCTAACAAAAATTATACCCTGAATGCAACCAAGTTGGAATCAAACACCTTTAATAGACATGATTGCATACATATGATACAAGCCAGAGAACAGTTGGTTATCAACTTGGATAAATACTCGGTTAAGTACATCGGCAAACATTGCCCTTTAAGCACCATATCTAAATTTGTACTTCTTAGGAAAAAGGAAAAAATGTTAATGCAATTATATGCTTCCTGCATTTGACTCTAAATTTGTACTTCTTAGGAAAAAGGAAAAAATGTTAATGCAATTATATGCTTCCTGCATTTGACAAAGATCAATTTTACAAAATCTTCACAAACCGATTATGTGAACAATACTCAGTTAAGTACATCAGCAAACATTGCCCTTTAAGCACCATATCGAAAATATTACTTCTTAGAAAAAAAAAGGAAAAGAAGTTAATGCAATTATATGCTTCCTGCATTTGACAAAGATCAATTTCACCATATCTTCACAAACCGATTATGTGAACCCATATACTCTCTAAAGAATCTTTTAAAGGTCATCAAAAGTTATTGTCTCTTAATACGTTTATTGAGTCTTCTACTCTCTAAAGAATCTTTTAAAGGTCATCAAAAGTTATTGTCTCTTAATACGTTTATTGAGTCTTCCAAAGATTTCAATCACACAGCATATAAACCTTTGCCACAAAGTAAGGTTCCACGTCAATAAGCTTTTAAGATAACAAAACAGAACTGTACGGATTTGGAAAAAAACAGATGAAAGTAGAGACAACAAAAACAGATGAAAACACAACCTAATTTTAAGCTAATAAATAAACTCCTTTCCATGTCGCACAGTTTTTTTTTCTTCCCAGAAGTATTAAGTAGCTATAGGTATGAGCTCCCAGTATAATAATCAAGTATAAGAGGTTCAACTTGCTATGTCATCCCTCTCATGAAATTAAAGTAATACACTATGAAGGTTAATTTGAGGGTCTGCCAGAAGTTTGATGATCTTTAGCAAATTTCAAATTTAGATGATTCAAATCTTTCTTCTTCTTCATTTTTTTTTTTTTTTTTTTTAAATAAAAAAAAAAAGGAATTTAGCACACTTTACAAGCACACTTCAATATAACCTCGCCATAATAGCCACATTGTGCACATAGTTTATGTAATTAGCAAACAAAGAAAGTATCAACTTAAAAATGGCTAAATGGTTGAAGTCAAAATGATTGTGTAAGGTAGCACATTTTCTAATAATTGAGAAAATTGAAGATGAACTCAAATACATCACACTAAACATCGGGGGGATTTGTAGGAAGGAAAAAAGCATAATATGAGGATGACAACTGACCTTTTTATTGCTGGCAACTGCAGCTTGTCTTTGATCAACAGAGTTGATACACAAAGCCTGCTTTAATAAAGAAATACACTAAGAACGCTATATCAAAGTTGAATATCTTTTTACTATAAGGAACATGCAAATTACTTCTCAAAACAAAATCAATTTCTGCCGTCTTCAATAAGAAAGATACATTATCAAAGAGAATTTTAAGTAAAAAGAAGCAGAAGTTTCCAATCCTAGAAAAGGTTTAGTGGCCACAACATACGATTGGATTGAAAATTACCTCTAAAAGCTCTCCATTCCTCCTACATATCTCTTTAGGTTTCTGAAAAGGCATGGCATCATCAAGGGTGGCCAATTCCTTGTCAGATCTGACAAGAGTTTTCCCATTACGAAGTAATTTACCAGGTGATCCAGTGGCATCACTGACAGACCTACTAATATGTGCAGCTTCATGAGTACAATTGCGCTCTGCCCTTGTGATGCCATTGTAAATCTCACTCCATCTTTCAGAGAGTTTACGATCAAAACAATGCAACATATGAACCTTTTCATGTGCAAAGCAGTCTGATATTAGATTGGGATTGGAAGTAATGTTCCATAATGTTTCAAATTCACCTTTGATACACATATCCATATTGTACATCTCATCAGTATGGCCCTTGTCATGACTAGATAGAGACTGGCAAATCTGTTCAAACCAAACAGCAGTTGCCACGTACAGCTTCTGATCTAATTTATATTGCAGAGATGATACCAATTGTTTTAGTTGATAAGAAGAAACCTGAGCAAGGACGATAGTCAGTAGAGCAGTAAGACTCATTGATACCAATTCAATCACATCCTTTGAAATGGCTTTCCAATCAGATTTAATGGTTGAAAGACTTTGAGCCCATGTATCAAGGTTCCCAAGAATCATACTGCTCAAGCTACCCTCCTTAGATGTATTAGTTAAAGTAATCAACTTATGTTTCATGAATTTGGACATGTGATGCCACAAAACAGCCCCAATAATGTGCCATCTTTCATCTCCTGGAATTAAATGCACAATGTCATCACTTTGTTCATTAGGCATGCCTTCCAAAATCTGATGGTTATAATCTACATCGGTCAATAAATTTTGAGCTATCAACTCTCCAATCTGAGGGAGGAGTAGCTTCAGATGCTCCACGTCAATGTCATGAGGAGATCGTGCATTTTCCAAGAGTGGTTGCAGCATCTTAAGGAGACATGGAGCTTGGAAACAAGATCGTCTTTGAGAGAACCATGTGTAATTCTCAAAGCAGCTCTTAAACCCTGTAAGGATAGTAAGAGACCTTGAAGGTAGTACCACCAAGTATCGAAACATTTTGACCCTGTTTCACCTTTGTGAAAAGATAAACTGCAAGCAATAGTGTACCGTGAAGCTGAAAATAAAATTTCTTGTGCTGTTTTGAGTAGTGACTTGTGCACGAGAGGATGCAAGAGGAAAGTATAAATCTTCTGGTTCTTGTCATCCGGGCATTCTTGAGAAGCAAATCCATGAAATATGTCATATCCAATAAATTGTAGCCCAACATTACACAGAAAGACCAACATCTGATAAGATAAATGGACAGGGAATGAATATCCTTTGGAGAAAATAGTGGAAGTATCTGACATATGAATTAAAGAGAGAATATCACACTCAGAAATCCACTTACCATACTAACAAGAGAGGCAGGAAGCAACGAGAACTTCATTTCAAACTGTGCAAACCCTACATTTAACTTACGCTGAAAACTTTCAAGAGATTTCTCATAATCCATCTCATATTCCTTCAAGCAACCCATGCATCCAACAGATTCTAAATTTATAGTTGGCCAGCTTGGATGCTTCCTTATCAATTTTGAGAAGTATTGAACTGCCAAATCCAATTTTGCTCGATACTCCAGATGGACTGCAAATTCAACAGAAACCCAACTGGAGGAATCTCTGGGCGATTGCTTACAGATTTTTCTTATAGTCTCAAAGCACAGAATATCAACCCCATTAGTCCCATCTGGAACTTCAGTAATGCTTCCACAGGTTGACATTTGTTCCAAAGCTTCAAGCTTAAAATCAAACGACAATGCCAGAAAAGCAAACACAATAAGTACATGAGGTATGGTATGGAACTTTTCGGAAGTCAAACGACAATGCCAGAAAAGCAAACACAATAAGTACATGAGGTATGGTATGGAACTTTTCGGAAGGAAGTTGTTGGATTTTCCTTTATTCTTTTGTATTATTATTTTTGCATTATGAGTCTATATTCATTATTTATATTTGTAATATTCTTTCTATATCGATATATGGTCTTTCTTCTATATAAGAAGACCTTGTATTTGATTTGAATATAGAAGAAATACAATATCTTTATTTCTTCCCTAAATTCAAGTTCGTATTAGAGGGGAAGATCCTAAGTTCAAACCTCTACTATGTCATTTCATCTCTAATCAATATTGATTTCGATTTGTTGAGTCTTTTATAAATTTCCAAGTCCACGAGGGAAAGGGGAGTGTTGAGTGTTGATATAATTAAATTTACTAAAACCCATCACCTTAAAATTTTTGGTTGATTAGTGATTTAACATAAATAAAGCTTTCTCTTGGTTATCTTCTCAATAATAATAATAATAATAATAATAAAAAGTTCGTCATGTGCATATTTAGAAGTGAAAATCATTTTTAGTACAGATACATGCTACAGTTAGGACCAAAGACAATATCTATGATACTGAATCATCCTATTCCTTGGTCCCCTTACCCATTTTGAAGTCTTCAATTTAACACGTATTGTTACATCTATTGGATTGCTCAATTGGATTTTAGGTTTTCCATTAATATGTTGCTGATTTCAGCAAAGAGTTATGAAGATTGTTATCTAGCTTTAATAATTTCTCATGAATTGGGTATGGTTTATGGATTTTAAATCATTTTTAGAACTTCTTCCCTATGAATTTCAATTATTCAGTTCAGAAACATACTTCTTCTCCACCATGTCAATGGACACTATGTTCTAACAAAAATATTCTTTTTAGGTAACATCTTGATAAAATATGCAATTATTGCTTAAAAATTGTCATTTCTACTCGTGACTGGCTTAAAAATTGCTTGAAAATTGTTAGACCTTTTCTTTAAGCAGATACTCCGAATAACTCGTGACTGGCTTAAAAATTGCTTGAAAATTGTTAGACCTTTTCTTTAAGCAGATACTCCGAATAACATCATTAACCAAATATAAAAACTTACAGGAAGACCACATCTGTTTAAAGCAGTAGCCGTCATCAAGGTTGCAAGCCGACAAAGGACCTCAGCAGATTGCTCCCCAACTGCTTTCTTCATGCTATTTTTGGTTGCTAACAATAGACAATACAAACCAACGCTTGGGTCTTGTAAAGAAATATGTCTACTTGAAAGAAACGGTATCCCAGTAACAGAATTTGACTCTGACTCCAAACCAAGCACGTTCAGGAAAGATTGAGAGTAGTTTCCTAATTCCCACTGCAAGTGAAAGAGAGGAAATTTTAAGTTCTTGGCATACCAAATCCAAGGAAAACACATATATTTCACTTCTGCTGTCCTATTTTCATATTCATCATTTGTTTGAAGTGGTAGATGCAAATAAAACACATACAGTTTAAACATTAACTATTATTATGTGGTTCAATAATCTACCTATTCAATCGCTCTAAAACACATACAGTTTAAACATTAACTATTATTATGTGGTTCAATAATCTACCTATTCAATCGCTCGTGCTAACGTGGAAATGACTCGTGGAGGTGCCTTTCCAACTTATATTAAATCATAGGTTATTTCAAGAAAAAGTAAGAAAGAAGAAGAGTGACATGACGTTTATTAAGATGTCAAGGCTTTAAGAGGGTTCAAGAAAAAGTAAGAAAGAAGAAGAGTGACATGACGTTTATTAAGATGTCAAGGCTTTAAGAGGGGTGTGTTATGTAATAATTAAATCATATGGTGAAGAAGTAATCATTTTTAAATGATAGGAAAAATTTGTATTCACATCTATGGGAATGTATTTTGCATTTATTTCTTAACATGAATGATGCACCTCAAGAATGCTTGCAAGCCAGGTATCACCCTTCTCAATGGCAGATGGAAGCATGAACTGTGTTATTAGATGTTGCTGAAGAGGTCCACCACGCCCTTCAACTAAACGACTAATTACCAGTGCAAGCTGCTCATCCCCAAGATTTTTCGCACAGACTCTGATAGCAGAAGAAGTATCACCACCAAGCAAAAAAAAAGCAACAGCCAATTCCAGTTGATGTTTCCCCATTAAAACATAGGCATTCTTCAAAGCTGCTGCCTTATTTTTCTCCTCCTGAAAAGTGAAAATTAAATGAAACCACATATTAACATGATTTAAAGGGGAAAACGACCCTCCAAAACTGTTCTCTTGAAAGATCATGCACATAAATTTGACATTGATTTAAAGGGGAAAACGACCCTCCAAAACTGTTCTCTTGAAAGATCATGCACATAAATTTGACATCTTCCAGATGGCATGTCAAAGGAGCACCTGAAAATTGCGTGAAAGAAATCCCACCAAGGGTTTATCCTTCTCATCCCTGCTAATTTTAAAAAGGCCAGCTAAAACTTGGATTCTATTCAGTGTGACATACAGAAGCATACAATCCTTGGGATCTTTTTTCTTCAGATATTGGGATCTCGCCAGTTTCTCCATCTGCATATAACATGGACCAATTAAAAAGAAAAACAAGAAAAGGGGTTAAATCAATTGTAGATAAAGATTTTTCAATTTTCCTAATAAAGACATCATATTTCCACTCAAATGAACTTATCAACAGGATGATAAACTAATGGTAAATACTTTATTCAATACGTCGGATTTGAAAACATTTATCCAATGGTGTACTAACACCCATGGCCAAACCTCATCTAAGTAGACAAGAAAATCATAATCTACTTCAAGTGGATGGCTAAAGGATTTTTAGGGTACTTAATCTTCAAAATATACCATGGATTATGAAAACCCTAAGAACGGAGAAAGGTTGCATTCATTTTTTCAGGAAAAGAAATGTGCTTGTTTGATATGAATTAGGACAACTGCCTTGATCTACATTACCAGTACCCAGTCTGATGTTTATATAAAGAGTTTGCACAAAAAGAAAGACAAATACATAAGTATTAAAGAATCAATTTGATTTCTATGATTAAGTCGAGCTAAAGAATTTATACTAATATACAAGATCTCCAAGTATTACCCTTGCACGCAACTGTGTTGTATTAGTAAACCAAATTCCAACACCCAAACTTCTCATTTCCTGCCATGTTGGTTCTTTAGAGATAACCGAATCCAATAGATTTTGCTGACAATCAGAGTGATAGGCCCATCCAATCAATCTTGAATCAATGGTCAGCTCTTCCAGAGATGCTGATCTACCATCACACCGAAGAAATCGCAGTTGTTGAAACCTCAAAGCAATCCAATATCTAGAGAATGAAAATAAATAATCACTACAACATGGAACAAGAAAATTACATGGTTGAATACTACAGAATACTACCCCATTTTGAATTAGTTAGAAGGGAGCAAAATTACAAAAAAGAAAAATGTAGATGAAGTACGCCAGGATGAGTAACAAAACTTCATCAAATTAGGAATTCAGGAGCTTTTCCCTCCATATCCAAGTCACTGAAGAGCTACGGTTTAGTTTTATATATAACTTGTTGTTCTAACTGCATTCAATACAATAACCTTATATTTAAGTATGGGACCACATATTGACCCAGATTTTAATCACTCGGGAAAGCATTTTGTACTTCTTATTGATTTTCCATCCCTTTATCAATTTCATACATCAATAACCTTTTTCCGGATTAATATATATATATATATATATTTATTTATTTATTTATACTTTTCTTTTCAGTGTTTCGTATACTCCTGGGTTGAAAATGAATATACAACCAAAAATGTACATTCTTGCTTAAGAGCAACGAAACAGTAGATGTGCTTGGTCACCCTTTGCTTTCACATAGAACACATAACTGTTACTTGGAAGCATGGTTGGACATTTACTGTGAATTTTTTTCAGTCATGTTAATAGTTAACACGCCCTTGAAGAGCAAATGGAAGAGCTATAATTGAATCTTCGTGCAGTTTTTGTGGTTGTTGAGAGGAAATATTCTAGATACAAGACTTCAACAGCTGGAGGTCCAGTTATTTCTTGGTGAAGTTCTTGGTCAAAGAATTATCTGAAGAAAATAGGTTTGACGAAAATTAAACCCAGCCACTGCAAATTACAAAATTTAACAACTTGATATGCTCCCTAAACTAGCAAATTTGAGTTCTGTGTAGTTCTTCTAGTCAAAATCTTTTAATAACAAACATTTTCCTCCCACACCTCTTATACAGCAATATTTTTTTTGGTAACACGGCATAGAGCTGTGGAAGGCACAACACTTGAAGGGCAATATCCTTCGTTTGATCCACAATCAATTCTCAAAGTGCTAATAAAATTTCACACGTCAAACTAGCAAATCAGCGATCTCTTTACATGGAATCTAAGGTGTGTAGCGTATACACTAACGATTACGAGGGTACCATACTAGAACTTGAACGATCAAATGAAAAATATAGAAAAGAAAAGTAACAAATGTTAAAAAACTAATGAAATAAACTGTACATGAACTTATAATCAATTGAAACATTCAAAACTGGAAAAAGAAAATTCACGGTTTCACAATAAGAATATATGTATATACACACACACATATATATATCTGCAGGGCATAGTGACAGTGAGGCATATATAAGAAAACACAAATAGTGAAAATGAGGCAAGGGTTTCCTCAAGCCGTTTAACAAAAAGTGTAATTGAGAAGTTACAAAAGCATTATTGTAAAGTACCTTCTCCCGGGCTCATCAAGACTTTCGTAGGCAGATGCAGAAGATTTATTACTGATTTCATCAAGAAGATCTATAATTGCTAGAGTTTCTGTCTTCTCCATGCTGGTTAGCCCTGCTGATTCATAGAACTTTTCAAGAGGCTCAATAAAGGAGCTGAATTCAGATTTCGTAGAGGACGGAATGAATGAGCTGTCATTACTAATAGAATCCCAATTGAAGGTCCATGGTGAAACACCTTCCTTAAATTGGGATGCTAAGCCATTCATACTCCACTGAACTTCTTTATCAGTAGAAGTTTTCGCAACTCCTTCAAAATAATCTGACAAAAGGATCTCCGGAATAGTATTGGTTGGGTTTGCAGAACTCTTTTTATTAGAAGAAAGATGCTCAATAAGATGACTCAAAGCTGAATATGCACGTTTCCACTTACCTATTCAAATTGAGGATTGCAAATCTTAAGCCTGAATGAACCACTGAGTTTAACTGTACCGAACAGAGAGATGATAAAAATTCTACAGAAATTGACCTAAAATTAAACTGCTAATAGTTGATTATTTTGCAGCCTCATGGTGCATTTTATCTGACGATTTTAAAGACAAATTATAGTTTTCTTCGAGAAAATATGGAAATTAACAGTTTCATGCTTTAACCAGAAAGTAGGAAAATAAATGTTTAGTTAGCTGTGGCTGGTGGCAAGTCAACAAAAGTAATAAAATTAACAAGACAATAACAAGACTAAAAATGTAAAATTTATCAGATATAAAAATAAAACAAATGGATAAATGGATAAAATATTCTCTGTGCTCATATGTAAAATTTATCAGATATAAAAATAAAACAAATGGATAAATGGATAAAATATTCTCTGTGCTCATATAAGCATATAATAAGATGGCTCGTAATGAATTATTGGTGGAAGCTTTTAAGGGAAAATCCTTAAAAAAAAAAAAAACAACCAAACTTGCCGATAGGCAGTAGTTTATATAATCACCTGAATATATATCAATGAGGAGAGCATGAGGATGAAAAGAGGACAGTGATCCACATAATTTATCAGCTATATCAGGCATGCTTATAAGACCAAGCGAAGTTGTACTTTTCATCTGTGCAACCCGTGGATATGAACTATTCGATAGAATATTGGTTTCAGCATGAATGTTTGTGAGAGATCTTGGTCTACGTTTGCTGTCATAATTATCATCTGATAATTTTCTGATACTGCAACATTCATCAGCAAAAACAGCGACATCAGTCCCATTGACATGGTGATTTTTAGTTTCTCCAATGTAATAAGGGCTGCACATAGCATCATGGTTTTTATCCCCAAGGAACAGCCAAGGACTAACTATACAAAAGTAATGATCATGTATAACTATTGCTGTGCTCTTCGGCCCCCAGAGGAAGCCACAATTAGATGGTAAAGTACGAGCAAACCCAATGCAGATCCAAGTCTCAGTATCCAAAGATTTTGTGATGCCTGACAAGGTCTGACCAAAATGCTTCAGGGAGTACACACGCAATTCATTTTGCAAACAAATTCCAAGTAAAAACTGACCATTTCCTAAAGTTAACCAGTCTACTGCAATGATATTGCTTTCAAAGGACAGTTCATCTTCAAACAAAAGGGTCCCTGCACCAAGGCATGCAAGCTCCCATAAGTGAACGTTGCTGATATTAGGTTTATGGTTGTTCTTGCTAATTGTAGCAATTTTCCGTCCACAATCGGTCAAACACAATGCAGTAATGGGGCCTTGGTGAGTGACAACAACACAAACAAGCTCCCAAGACACGTGAAAGATTGATGGTTTGCCTACATTGCTTCTCCAAAGTTTCAAACTTCCATCAGCAGAGCCAGTAGCCATAATATATGCAGGGGTATATGGTTCACCTGAAGAAGTTAATTTTTGCTGCACAGGAGCAAAAGTTCCTTGGTGCACCACGCCAAAACTTGTAATCTGGTCATTAATTTGAGAATTTGGGAACTGTGATGAGCAGGGGATTATACTAACACAATACTTTTTGCTTCCAAAAGAACTTTCAAATGTCAATATACTGAGCTCAGCTATATTTTCATTATCAATATCACAATTGCAATGTACTCCAGTCCCAAAGATATCATAAGTATGTAAGGTGATTTCCCATGATAGTGCCTGAAATCCTTCCATTCCATACCCCTATTAACATAAATTTATTGAATTTATATGTTGTATTACAATCAGAAGGCAAAGAAATGGAAAATATATCAGTTGGACCATTCTCAAAAGGACCATGACCAGTGAAAGGTATGGTACATAAGTAGTGACATTCAGTATTTTCTCCATCATTTTGGCTAATCCTAACAGCAAAAAAATCAATTCCTCTCGCATGTCCCATCAGAAGAATCAGTTCTTCATCCAATATTGATGGTGCCCACTGCACACTTTCCTCTCGCATGTCCCATCAGAAGAATCAGTTCTTCATCCAATATTGATGGTGCCCACTGCACACTTGTATATTTTGAGCATGAATCTTGAGTTACAAGTTTTCCACAAAGTTCCCAGGTATGATTAAGTGTTGGAGGGCCTAATACACAGGTGGAGATACTAGATAGTGACCAGAAAAGAAGCAAGCCATTAAGTGTTGGAGGGCCTAATACACAGGTGGAGATACTAGATAGTGACCAGAAAAGAAGCAAGCCATTAGAGTCCAAAGAAGCAGCTACTTTGACCTCACAGTTGTATGGATGTACAGCAACGTGTAAGATTTTTCCAGCATGACCACTTAAATTCAATTGGGTAGTAACTGAACGAGAGAAGAAATTGTCTGACCTTTTCTTGTCAAAGGATACATCCCCTACGTCAGTAGATGTCTGAGAAGATAAAATTGACCACACCAAGGAATTACAAGGCAATAACTGAATCAAAGAACACATACTTGGGGAACCAGACGGATAAATCCTTGAGATAACAACTTTCTTGAGGAGAAATCAAAGAACACATACTTGGGGAACCAGACGGATAAATCCTTGAGATAACAACTTTCTTGAGGAGAAGCTTGTTACTTAAGTTTGTACAACCATCAATATAATGCCGTCCAACTTCAAGTCCTTTGAGCTCTTGCTTCTTCCACAATGTGACTCGAGGGAATCTTAATGGGGATACGTCATCAAGACAATGGACACTCTTGCTTCTTCCACAATGTGACTCGAGGGAATCTTAATGGGGATACGTCATCAAGACAATGGACAGCCCAAAAAGTAACCAATGATCCCGGACCTAAACTTATTAGCCACTCACAGCTTCCAGCCCTGTTGTGTTCGAATCCTTCTGAGAAAACTTTCTTAGTTAATTCAAAAGGTTTGCACATACCTCTAATCTCGGTTGCCCATGTTACAAATAAATCCGTGCCAAGAGTTCCATTCAATGCCTGATTTACCTCAATGACAGCAGTAACAGAAAAACGCCTTCTCAATGACTTCTTATTTACATCCTTACTAAATTTTTTTACTTTTCCATTTTCAGTCTCACTCCACAGTCTCACAGTTCCATCCAAGCAGCATGTCAGAAGCACATGTCTTGGTGTATTCTTGGAACTTCCTTTCTCTTTAATTGAAGTCCTCCATTGAATCATAGTTATAGGTAGAGGATGGCATAACTCGCTCTTCACATGTCCATACTCCCCTTCACTCTGACTGACCAGCACAGATTGGCAAGCTTTATCAATAAACATGTTATCCATCTTCGATATCCTTGCTTGAGATGCCGTTGCAAATGGTCCCTCGGTAGACCAGCTTGCGGAAACAAGAGTTTGGGGTACATCCGGTTTGAACTTCCAAGCAATTTCCCAGGACCTGTTAGTGTTCTTCCACAAAACAACCTCTACTCCACCAGCAATAATTCCATCTCCTGCAGCTGTCCACTGAATGGCCTCAACCTTCAAGGATTGCAGAAGCACGGAATTCTGCCTCCAACAAAAAGAACCTGAATATGAGTAAACCAATATAATTTAAAGGTGTCCAAAATTGAACGGAAACGATTCAATGTTATCAGCCTCGCTCTTAAATGAGCGAACCCAACTATTTCCTCACCAAAGTTCGTTAGAAGACGTGTTCATCACCATTACCTCAATCTCCCACATTGTTGGCGAATCCAAGTGGAAATTAACTTCATAACTATCCTAGAAAAGACACGCTGAACTAATTGGCACTAAATCCTATATGTCACTTCCCAATCAGTTCCTTCGCCCATTTTCCCACGAACATACAGTAATGAAAACATAATAACTGTAAACTGTCGCGTACCTCGAGAAGCACCCAAATCATGAGAAAACACCCATATCCGGTTGCCCACAGCTGCAGCGAGCTCGCCCTCCGACGGTAATACGGGAGACCAAGATACGGCATTGACAACAGATAAGTCGTCGCCAGAGAGCTCCAGTACCTGGCGAAATATGGGTCCAATTGTGGTTTCTTGGGGAGACAGAGGAGAAGGGAAGTGAGAAATCACCAAAACGGATGAGGCTCCATAAGCGACCCATGCATAGCCAGCAAAATCTGGAATCCAGTCGATGGGGGAACCAGCGAATCTATTCGGGGCGGAAGGGATCGGCTCGGATCCTAAAAGAGGGAGAGGGAGACGATAGATAGAATCGATCTCCGAGGCCGTTCCCGCCATGGAATTGGGCCTGATCGGAATAAATGGAGGGGTTACAGTGATCAGCGACGGAAGCTCATCACTGGGACAGTTGAATTAGCAAGTGATGCATTCAAGCTTCTTCCTTTGCGCGAATCAGTTTTTTTTTTTCATTCGAGTATAAGATGCAACTGTAACCACAATATCAATTCTCCTATCATTTCTCTCTTTTTTGGGTAACATTTCAATAATTAATTTCTCGGTAATTATATGTTTTATTTATTTATTTTTCTTTTTCGATATAGTTAATAAATTAATTTATGCCATATTTCATCTATATAAATTAATTTA